GACACTGTTATACTCAAATACCGGACTTGAGTCATTGAAAAAGATTTATGAAAAATATCAAGTGAAATCATCGAAGAAAAAGAATAACTGACAGCGAATTTTAGGTGTAGCAGAATGGCCGGGCGTAAAACTACATTTTGTGCAAATGGTATTAAACAGTACAAAAGGAAAAAAGAAAGTAAACAAAGCATTATTTACGATTTGTTTCGACTACGATAGTTCCTAATTTCCTCCTGTTACTAATGGGGAGAGATAATGGATTTAATTTCAAACTAAATAAATTGAGTATATATGTTTATTACATTCTTCTCTTTTCTAGACATATCAAGAAGAAAATCTCAAATTTGTAGCAAAGGAATAGCAAAATATTGATTGAAACAATACTATTTAACAACGAACATTTAAATCGACCGTCCCCGTTTACCAGTATTGAATAATAAACGTCGTCGCTTTAATTAGTTAATATGCAATTATCTAAGTGAATAAATCATTTCCTAAGTTTGAATTGACTATTTCCATATTCAATATTTCAGATCATCTGGCATACTGGAATCCCTTTTTGCCCTCACCTAGAATTATTTATTTAGATTTTATTATAAAATTCTCCTTTTAAACATAAATCGAATGAACTTTTTTTCCACGTGCAGTTCCGAAAATGTCAAACAAGTTTCAATTTGTCAAGAACGGTTATTTAAACAACTTGAACAACTCTGCATATCAAATTATAAGTTCAGTTAAGCTTGGCTGAGCGAAAAACAAAGTTGCTAATACATTAACTTTTAACCTCTATTTAGCAATTAAGGTCTCCAAGCCTTCTTCGCCAAGCGCAATCTCTTTTCGGGCTTAAGATTTTCAAAATGCATAATAAATTAATGTTTTCTTGAATTTCAAGAGTCGTACGGTCATTTTTTTCTTGAAAAAACTTGAAAAATTTAAAATCGATAATTCTGTAATAAAAGATTAGTTATGTAACTTAATATGCTTCTTGCCTAAAGTACACAGCGGGATAACTCAGCTCGAGTGCTGCTACGTAAACTGCTGACAAGTTCTCCGACACATTTAAAAATTTAAATCTCTGAATTAGTTACTGTTTAATTTATTGTTTTTGTGCAGAAAATGGACAGAAATTATTGCTTATGTTATAAAATGGGTCAACCAACATAAGAATTAGTCAATAATCAATCGATTGTTTGCAAACGCTTTTCGACATTATAGAATATAAATTAAAAAAGCGTATATTATAATTACCTTTAAATCAAATCGATTCACGAAAAACGTATTAACTCGATCTGGAATAGTTTATAAGATTGCGGGAGATCGGAATCAAATATCCTTGACCATAAGTTGAACATTAAAATTATTACAGTTTCATTACACAGACATATTAAATACACAAACACGAGTTAATGGCAAAAACCGTATGGAATTATATGGAAAGGCAGAAGTCAGTATCATTAACCTGACGCTGACATGGACCCCCTGGACATTGCAGACTTAGGGGCAAGGGGAAAGTCATATTGGCCAAAAAAAGAGCCATTATGAATTCTCTACGCCCTGAACCCTACTGTGGCCTACCACAATGCGATAAAAAGGATTCAACCTTAAATGGATCCTTAATGCAAAACCTATTGGAGTAACAAACCAAGTATGCGTCATGCGAAGAGATTCAGAAAAAGGCCATACGCAAGGCTTAGAAAGAAATTATTTGAAGGTAACTGCAAAAGAACCAGGATTCTGGTTGGACTCATGACAGAGCACTGTCGCCTGGTAGGAGTACCGAAAGAAGAAATACTGTGCAGATATTAATTAACGTTTTTAGTTGAGATAAAATCGTCAGTGTCACAAGCGGGATTCGAAGCCACGATGTTCTGCTCGATACGCCGCTGCTCTACCACTTGAGCTATCGTGACCTTGATCCACTCGGACACTAACTTCCCATCTCAACCCCACCTTTTGAATTTTCCCTCCTTTCTGCCATTTTTTAAATCCCGCCCGTGACCCTGACTTTTTTATCTCAACGAAAAAACTTAATTAATTGAAAGATATTAATTGTTCAACCGGACCACGAAAACTAGTGAATTTAACTGTGCAGAGACTTCCAAGAAGAAGAGTAGAACGCAAGAACACTTTTTAGGTGTGTCTAAGTAGGTGTAGCTTTCTTTCAACTAGAAAAGGAAAATCCGCAAGCACGATCCTAGACTCAACCGCTGAAGGATATGGAAGTTGACTAACTGAAGCTGGCTAGTGAGTTATAAAAAATAAAGGAGTACAATAGATCTACTCAGATCGAGGTGCGGAGGCCTTGTGACCGCAATACTTAATAAAATATTGAAAAAATCTGTATCACAAATCACCATGAGCTTTTTCAGAAAAACTAGCTTTCAAACGCTAAAGTTTTTGTAGTCAAGGCAAATTTTTAAAAAATCAGGTATAAAACAAATTTGAAAAACAAATGGTAGTACATCTCGTTCCACTATAGACTCGAAATTTCATCAAGTTTGAAACGAAAATTTTCAGTACTCTGTTGAAGTATATATTTCTAAAACGTCGAAGGAACTGAGTGGTTATTTTGTTTTCAAAATGGCCTCATTCATGATATTTTTAGACACAAAATTTGATTGTAAAGTATTTTTTTATATTATAATTCATTAAGCAAACTGAGGGCATTGCCGGAATTGGAACCCGGGACCACTAGTGTGGCAAACTCGAGTCGGACGGAACCACCTGACCACCACGGTTCCCAACAAAATTTGATAGTTTACGTTTAAAAAAAAATTTAAAAAATTACAAATGTGGTTGCAACATACGGAATCTATTAGAGAATCTTTCATAATCTACTGGATATTTCCATATTCCAAACATTTGTGTATAAATCGCACATACATTTAAAATGCATGCATCGCAAAAATATTACATTTAAACTGAAAGGTATTTGTAGTAAATTCTATAATAATAATAATGATAAACGAATAATTGATTGAAGGGAAATTCTAAAGATAGTACGCGTAGTAATTAATATAAAACAAAACCACTTAAAAATCACAAATAATGTTATAGTACACGAAATCTTTCAGAATTCTACCCGGAAAGTAAAGAAAATTTCTTTCTTTATTTTTTAAAGTGTTTTTTTTTTTAATTAATGTAAGTTATCAACTCAAAACTTATCTCAAAATGCCTAAATGCACTAAAAAACTGTAATCTACAAAGAGCTTAATGTTAACGTGGGTTCCAGGTCATAAGGGAATAACAGGCAACGAGGCAACAAACATATTAGCTTTAACATGGCGAAGACAAGGTCAATGTCAGAAAAAAAAATAGTTAAAGGGATAGACTCAATGTAAATCAATTTTTATTATAAACTATAGCCACATTAACAAAAACAACAGTTACCTTGGATATCTAAATAACAAAATACTGAAAGCCCCAGGCATGAGGCAAGCCAAATATTTCTGGAAAAATCAACCTAAAAGAGAAAGAGGTATACTTACAGGGCATACTCCAGTAAAGTACGACTTGAAAAAAATTGGATTATCAAAAAATGACCAATTCAATTATGTCCAGAAGAGATATGCAACTATCTTGGAAAAGACAATAGTATCTGGGAAAATCATTTTTTAGCTAGGAAGGTTTTGATACCATATCTCCCAACATCATAAAAGAAACGAAAATCTTCCAGAAAATCCATTAGCAGAGTTCGGCACATTTTTTTCACGCCCTTAAAATTTGTTTAATGGCCATATACAATTTGTTTATTATACACAAAAGATCAGCTGGTAAATGGAGAAATTCCTACGATTTGTAGTTTGATAAAATATTTTCTTCGGACCACTTTTGCCTTTTGATTCTACCAATTTTCATATTTATTCATTTACTTCACTTAATTTGCTGTACACATTTTATAATAATAAATATAAGATAAAAATAGATCAATGTTTGAAAAGAAAAATCGAACAGCCTGCCCTCAGTAAGAAGAATATATATTTTTAAACTGTCGCAATTTTTATTGTTTGTAAGGTTTAGTACAAGTACTATATAAAAATATTTACGGCTATTATTTTTTTATAAGTCTAGCAGTTATCTTATTAATATATAATTTATTATAAAATCTTCTACTTATTTACGCTTTGGCACACAGAATTAAATTTGGAATAGTCAAATTTTAAAAATTTTAATGCCAGACTGTACTTCCCTAAATAGTTATTCATAGACTATATGGTATTTTGGACGTTTGATTTTAAAAAAATTATTTAGAAAAGTAGTCTGGCATTAAAAATTTGAAAAATTTGGCTATTCCAAATTTCTTTCTGTGTGCCAAAGTATAACTAAGCAGAAGATTTTTATAATAAATTATAAATCAAAGATAATTGCTATTTGATAAAAAATGGCCATAAATACTTTTATGTAGTACGTGTACTAAACCTTACAAACAATAAAACTAGTTAGAAATCGAAACATTTCTATTAGCACACGTTTTAACACCTATTATTCAGGTTCAGGAGTGCAAGTAAATATTAAGCTGTCTAAATAGATTGTACGTATCTATAATCGATCCATTTGTTAATTTACGAGTAGTATTTCGTATTAATGTAGGTATTTATTATTGCTATGAGAAACAGATATTTAAAATGATCAGAGTGAAAATATTTTTTGAATGCTATACTGTTCAAAAGGTAAGGAATACTTCTTTTTTATTTGATTGCACGCAGAAATTAAATATTTAAAAAATTAAACAAATAAATTTGTAAATACACACTGCAATTTGAAAAGATATTTTCTTCGAACCTCTCTTGTCTTTTGATTCCAAAAAATTTTATATTTATTTTACTTAGTTTGCTGTAAAAGTGTTACAAAAATAAATATACGATTAAAAAAATAGATCTAGTTCTTATGTAACAAAATCAAACTCAATTTGTTTTAGCACTTGAACAAACTTTTGAATGTAAAACGTAATATAATGATAAAAACTAATAATTATCGAAATTCTTATGTGTAAAACTAACCTGCAATGAGAAGAATTAGTATCGGATAGCAAGCCATATCAGTGCGATCGTCGTGATCTTTGAGATTGTGACATGTCGCGTATTCACTTGTCGAAAACCTGAGCGGAACTGAAGCAGGGCCTCGGCCCCAGCCCCGCCTCTCGGCCTTCCTCGACCCGGCTCGGCACCATTGATCTACAAACAAAACATTTTCTATTTGTTAATTAAATAATGAACAGTACCGAGAGAAAATAAATCCCTGGGGCAGAAGGAGGAGGTTGCAGTGTGCAGGCTACAACAGCAGCAAGACTACTCTTCAGAACCGAACCACTCTTACGACCAAAACCTCCACCTTCTATTTAATAAACTTGTCTACCACTTAAAAAAACAACTAAATATATTTTCATTTTTTTTATATTGTTTTTTTCTAATATAATTGGAATTTATATTAGTAAAAAAAGAAGAAATGGATTTTGCTTATCCTTTGGGATGTTAAATCATTAATTTATATGCTAATAGAACAATATGGAAACTCATGACTCCAGGTAGACTAACGTATGCACTGATAAGCAGTTACAATATTGCTTAAGAGGTTTCTTCTGTAAGCATTAATATGTAAGCCAGATATGACAGTTCCCTCGTTTAACTGTTCATAAAACTTATTTTCTTTATTTTAATTTGTCGAGGAGTCGAATAACTTATTTTGATTGAAAATTTTTGTGTTACAAAAAATTTGAAGAATTGCATTACTTGTTTTATTTTTGTTCATTAAAAACTGGAAAGAATATGTTTCAGAATTCTGTTGATTACATTTATTAGGTTTCGTGGTTCGCTTGACCAAAAAAATTCGTTTCAATTAATCTTATCCGAAGGTTTTGGCTAAGATAAAAAAAGTCAGTGTCACAAGCGGGATTCGAACCCTCGACCTTCGGCTAAATACGCCCCTGCTCTACCACTACCACTTGAGCTATCGTGGCTTCCGCTGATTTTCTTTATAAAGTAATTTCTGTCATACTTGAGGGTTACCGATGGGGTCTTTCTTCATACATACAACATTTATATTGCAAAATGCTTTAAATTATAAGCAATGCATGCAAAGCAAATGCAATTAATGTTTAACGAATAATTTAAAGTAATTACTAACGTTATTAACATGACAATTCAGAGAATTAATACACTGTAATTTTAATTAACTTTATAGGATTGATATAAATAAAATTTAAATAATATTACAAATATGATTTACAACCAGGATTAGAATTGTGTAAATACAGACATTGTCGTTTGACAAGATATTTTCTTTAAACCTCTCTTGCCTTTTGATTCTACCAATTTTTATATATAGTTATTTATTTCGCTTAGTTTGGTGTTCAAGTTATATAAAAATAAATAGAAGATACACCTAAGATTCAAAAGAAAAATCTATAATCTATGTACAATCAATCGATTTGTTAATTTTCGAGAGACTAAATTTTTTTAAAATCAAACGTCTACAAAATCAATATCAATCTGCAGCTCAATCTAAAGTGAAAATTGTTCAGATTATTTCTCTATATTTTAAGACAGTATCATCATATAGATTTTGCTAAGATTGGAAAAATCTGTTTGTGACTGGGAATGGTTTCAGTTTCGGATCTACTCCACCTAATCAGTTTTTTCCACGGTGGTGAAAAGTCTCTTGCTATATATTACATACAAGGTTTGAATTTGGGATTATCCACGTTCCTGGTGTTGAGTAATCCGTTCAAATGTTTTCTCAGAAAGTTGGAGATTTAATCTTGCTGAATCATCCCATCGTATATTCTCTGATATTGAAGGTATTTAACGATAAGTTTTATTATTGCTGTTTACTTTAAAGAGAAAGATTTGAACCTTTATCCTTTATTTCTATTCTATTCCCAATTTTGACAACATTTGGCCCTACTTTGCCGTATATTACCAAATTTCTACACGCTTCCGACAATTAAGCCAAACCAGGTAATAAATTGATACTTTCATTTACTCTATCAGTTTCCAGTGTTTTGATTAATTGTCCTTGAAACCATCATAATTAGATCGTTGAATTTATGATTTCGTTTAATTTGGTTTACATTAGAAGTATGTTATAATCAATGTAACAATAAAAATAGGTAATAAACTACAATGCCCAAAATCGCAATTTAAATAATTAAAGATAGCTCCCTCCAAAAAAAAAGAGGATAAAGAAAAAGAAGGATTACTGTGCTTTTGTTTTATGATTATTGTTAAGTATTTATAGTATTTGAATGGAAGAATAAAAAGATGACGATGAGCCTATACTCATGCTGAGACTGTTACTGGTCTGTCTACACAATTATTAATGGCCAATTTGGTTTAAATTAAAAGTATGATGTAACCAATGTAACAATAAAAATAGGCAATAAACTACAATGCCCAAAATCGCAATTTAAATAAAGAAAGCTTTATAAAAGCGGATAAAGAAAAATACGTCCGTGTCTGGTTGTTTTCTGCAATATGTACAACATGCAAGGACATCCACTACGCATCATCTTCAAGAACAAAATTTCCTTCTTTAAATCCAGCAAACCAATGTTGAATTTTACGAACGCTTATAGAATTAGAACCAAACACAACATATAAATTTTCAGTTGCAACATTTGCATTGTTTTTGAAATTCATAAAGTAAACAATGCCTTAAAAGCGTTTAATCAAAACCCATGATTACCTTATTAAATTATTTGACACAACTAAGAAGATGAAAACAGAAACTGAAAAGGAATAAAACCTTTTAATTTACGGATTAAGCAAGGGTATTTGTAAACGAAAATAATATAGACAAAAAATGTAAATATTGAGCTAATTAATCTTAACAGCGTTAAACAAACAACGTTAACAACATAAATGGCAAACAGAGGAACTTGAGAGGAAAGAACTTGTGATCCTCTCTAGGTTGCGAATAGGTCACATCAGGCTAACTTGTCCCTGATGTATTCGAAATGAAGAATCTGAACTATCTGATTTTAAAACATATTTTGGTCGACTGTCTCATTTTGCAATCCTTTAGGCAAAGGCTTAACCTTTCGAGATATTTAAAGTTACTAGGTCCCTAGTGTTCGTTTCTCAAGAGCGATTTTCGGCTTTCTTAAATTTATTAAAATTTTATAATGAGATTTAGGCCTCTTCCAAAATTTTTATACCTTTGAATGTTTCTCTGCAAGTTTTTGAATGAGAGTTCTGATTGCAAGAATTATTTCTTTTTTCAATAATTTTTGAGCCTGCCGCCGGAGCGGAAAAATGAAATAAAAGAAAATACAAATTGCGGGGTAATAAACTACAATGCCCAAAATCGAAGAAAAGATAGCGTCCAAAAAAAGTGGATAAAGAAAAAGATGTGTTATTGTGTTTTTGTTTTATTATTATTGTTAAGTAGCATTAGTGTGTTTATAGTATTTGAATGGAATAATGAAAGGATAAGAATGAGGCTGTTAATAGCCTGACTCTATTATTATTATTGGCACACAAGCCTATGGAAAATTTTATCTCGTTTCGTGGTCCGCTTGACCAAATAAATTCTTTTCAATTTATTAAGGTTTTGGAGAGATAAACAAGTCAGTGTCACGAGCGGGATTCGAACCCACGACCTTCGGCTAAATAGGCCGCTGCTCTACCACTTGAGCTATAGTGACCTCGATCCACTCGGACATCAACTCCCCATCACAACCCCACCTTATGAGTTTTCCCTCCTTTTACCATTTTTCAAATGTCGTGTAATCTAATTGATTCTCGGCGACAAATGAAATGGCCACGGAGAGCTTTAGTGAAGTATACTTCATTTTGCTTATTACATTTTATCATTTTATTTCGTGGTCCGCTTGACCAAATAATTTTATCTTAACCAAAACCTTAATAAATTGAAAATAATTTATTTTTGATTTATTAGAGACCAAATAAAACCAGCTGGAGCCCACAAGCAGAAAAAATCAACATAAATGTTAATTTTGTTAGTTTAAGTTAATGTTTAACCTGTGTGAATCGAATTCCAGGGATTGAAACCATTCACTAAGAAGTCTCATGGCAGATTGCATCTACTTTTCCACATCCAACCAAGATTTGCCTGAGTGATGAACAGAAATATTATCGGAATATGCAGTTATTGCCCCTTGGGTATTTGCAATATACAAAATGTCGTTCACGTACACTGAAAAGATAAGGGGACTAAACACGGAGGCTTGTGGAACCCCATTGTCTATTTTTTTAGTCGTTATCAGGCTACTTCCAATACGCACACATTGATAGTGTTCAGAAAGATACGACTTTCATTTCAGTGCAAAACCCCGTATTCCAGTTCCCTAAATTAAAATTTCATGGTCTAGGGTGTCAAAATCTTTTGTAATATCTAGAAAAGTCAAGCAACCTTTGTACCATTAAAAAATTGAGAAAATCGAATAATAGTTGTAATGGTGAAGGTTGGGGGAGTTTCTTAATCCAAAGAAATTTCTGCAAAGCTTTCGACTTTATTTAACTCACCTTCAGGGCTTTTTGCTTATGATCTACGCTTCAGGGCTTATGCTTGTTGTTCAGGTTGAAAAACCTTAGTTAAGTACGATTGTCCTACGAATTACAGATCATCGTCAAAAAATTGATAAGAGCATCCTCTATGCTTTTTGATTTTAGAAAGTCAAATTAACGCGTATTAAAAATATTAATCGTAGTAACCTTTTTTTTTAACTGGTTGTTCCAAGATTTTATATAGTAGCGATATAGGCCTATATTTTTAATGTTGGATGGATTCTCCTTTTTATGAACCAGTATAACAACTGCAATCTTTTCAGATCATGGGGGAATCATGATCATCATTCAACCACCCCCGTGGTAATTCTCAAGTTGTAAATGAAAGTTAATTAAACGAATATATTCCGCTGATTCCTTAACTATTTTAACACTGATTCCGGCAATAGATGGAGATTTGTCAAAACCCTGCTTCCTTGCATGCTTATTATGATCAATGATGATTATGACTCAATAAAAAAGAGAACGTCTTCTTAAAATTCAAATTAGAGAAACAGATGAATTTCTCCTTATAACTCCCTTGAACAATATTTTTTTAGCTTAATTCTGAAAGCCGACATCTTTAGAACGTTGCCGTATTAATTATTTGGTGAGATTCGTGAATTTTCCTTTTATATGTGCTTCATAGAATGAAACAGCCAATTTCA